TGGTGAAGTCCAATTTATTGTTTTCTTTCATGGATTGCGCTTTTGGTTTTGTATCTAGAAAAATTTGTCGAACTAAATCAGAGTGCCCCCAATTTTCCCTTATGTATTTTTCTTGAGCTATTAAATTTTAAATTTCTCTTTAGGTCTGTGATGCATTTTGAGTTAATTTTTGTTGTAGGTTACAATGTCAGAGTTGAAGTTGTTTTGCATGTGGACCTCCGGTGGTTACAGCACCATTTGTTGTCTCTGAGTTTTTCCCATTTACCTGTTTGTGCATTAGAATGTCATTTTTTAAAAGTTTATTGCTTACTGACCAGGGCCCAGGAGTTGCCGTACTGACCCACCGAAGTTGTCTGTAGGAGAGAAGGGTTAGTATGAGTTAGAGTTCCTCCCTGAGTGTCTGTTACAGAAAGCATGCTAAATGTGTCAATTTTTAGTTTAAATTCAATTAATTAACATATAATGTATCATTGGTTTCAGACCTAGAGGTCAGTGGTTCATCCGTCTTATATACCAGCCGGTGCTCATTGCATCACGTGCCCTCCTTAATGTCCATCACCTGAGTGGCATCTTGATTGATAAATAGGAGTTTGACAATTAAAGAGAGGAAAGGGTTTTCCAGGCAGAAAGATTACCTGCCCCCAGTCCCTAGGCAATAAGTGTCAGACAGGTAATGTGTATTTTTCACAATTTTGACTGTATGCCCCAGTATGCTATCTGACTGTAAACATGTTTTGTTGATCTCTCAGATTAAATGGAAAAAAAAAGCCTCCCTCGAGAATCTACAAGTAATTTGAAGAGGCCGGGGTACAGGTTGTATATGTGTTTGGCATGGTGGGGACACAGCCTGTAGGGCTATGTGCCAGGCTAAGGAGTTTGAAACCTGTCATTGGTAGCAGGTGGGGGAGGGTGACTCTGGAGACAGGAAATAGCTAGAAGGCCATTGCAGGTGGCCAGGTGAGGCAGGGCAGTAGGAGTAGGGAGGAAGAGGCAGCTTTAGGAGAGGCACAGAAAGTGAGTTTGATGGGATCAGGTAGAATTAGATGTATGTGGCTAGGAGCCTAGGCTGCCGGGTCCCTGGTGGAGTCAGGACTGTGGGGTTTCAATTAAGGGAGTATACAATGAGAATTTGGATTCTGGGCATGTTGATATATTGAACTGGACTTGTCTCAGTGGGACAAGGGGGTGGAGACTTTCCAGAAAAGGTGCATATATAGGTCTGTGCTGGAGACTTAGGAAATGAATACGACACTGCCCCTGTCTTTAACCTGTACCCTTTCTCAGGGGTTCCCATATGTTTGTTTCTTTCTCCTACTCCTACCCCAGAGAATCTCAAGTTGGTGCTAAAATCACAAGGCTGAATCTTCCAATGGAAGAAAAAGAGGACTTCACAAGATTTAAAGGCAACCTGAGGGAGGGGGAGGTGGGGAGAGGAAAGAGAGAGAGAGAGATGCTGGAAAGAAGCCTGAGAGAGAAAAAGAAGAGTGTGGGAAGACCAGGGTAGAGAGTGTCCTGGAAGCAAAGAAATTCATGAACAAGGAAGCTGTCGAGGATCAGAGCTGCAGAGAGCAGTGGAGATGAAAACAGATAGGCTTTGGATTTGACAATGGCACTTGCCAAGGGTTGCATGGGCTGCTTCAGTGCCAGAGGGAGGCAGAGGGTCAGGGTGTACGTGGTAGCATAGATGTTAGAAAGTATAGAGGGAGGTGTAACTGTTGTTTAAATATTTGATGAATTCACTTTGGCTGCCAATTTGGATAAGTCTTTGGATGTTAATGGTAGAACACCCTACTCAAACTGGCCAAACCGAAAGGAATTTATAGGCTCAAATAACTGAAAAGTCCAGAAGAATCAAGCAAGGCTTGATCTCAGGGTTTAAGTGATATCAAGATCTGGTCTCTTTCTGTCTCTCTGCTTTCTCTTCTTACCTGGCTTCCTTCTCCAGCCCGGCAGGAAGGGAACTGGATACTCCCAAGTTTATGTCCTTCTAGATCGAAATTCAGCCGATGTGAGATCTTGTCTCTGTCTTTTAGGTCCAGGATTCCTAATTGGACCCACTTGGATTTTGTGCCCAAACCCAAGCCAGTGACTGGGGGAAGAGAGCAATGATTACTCAGATGACCGTGTAAAGGGCATGTGTCCTCTCTAGGCCAGTCATCGTGGCTGGAGGAATTCAGTGCTCTGATTGACAAGACCTGGGTCATGTGGCCCGTGGAGCTGAGGGCAGAATCCCAGCTGAGTCATTGGGATTACCTACAAGGGAAGGGTAGTTCTGGAACAAGAGCCGAAGTACAATTCCTGGAGGCTGGAATGGATGTTCTAGCTGGAGAGAGAATATCTACCAGTAGGGGAGAGAGTAGGATCAGTGCATGGAAATTATTGGTTGCTACACTTCCGCTTTTAGAGAGAGATCTTTCTATGCACTGGAGGAATGAATGAAGCCCGCTGCAGAGGTAGCAAGTTGGCTGACACGCAGTCGTGGGGAGGGGGTCTAAGCAGTCACTACGAATAGATATCGGCAGCCCATCAGAGCTGAGTAAATGGAAAAGGGGATCTGGAAGGCCGTTTTCCAAACTGTTTCTCTGTAACACAGGAATGCATTTTTACTAAAACCCAGTATACCCTCAAAATGCATATGAAACCGCAAGTAGAAGTTTCATGACATAACACTTTTCCTTACTACGTGACACATGCGTGTTTACTCTTCCAGAATCCCGGTTGTGTGCAACCCAACTCTATTTGTTTTCATGTCACACTAATGTCAAACCCGCTGTTTGTAAAACCGTCTTCGAAGGTCAGGGGTGTAGGTAGCATAGGCTTGAAGCTGGTGTTTGAGTCTGGCTTGTCCATGGTGATGGTGGCACTGGTCAAGCCTGAGGAGGCAAACCTGTTCCGCTTAAGGGAGCTTTGGATTCTGCTAGTGGGATCTCTGGTGTCAGAGCAGCTCTGGCCACGTGTGGGGCAGGGGCAGGGTGAGGGCGTGGCCTGCTTTTGGGCCCGAGGGCCAGTATCGGAGGGAGTTTCCGGGCTGGCCCTGGGCCAGGGCATCTCCGAGGCGGGACGGGGTTGTCTGTCTGGAGGCTGGTAGTGGCTCCTTCTGTGCCAGCAGCCGCTTGTGTTGTGAGGATGAATGTGTGTGCCTGTGTGTGCTCTCCGCCAAGCCTTTATATTGAAGATGAGGGAGTGGCTTTTTAAAAATAACATATTTTTGACTTGAAACAAGTCAAGGCAGTGAGTGGAGACAATTAGAGACTGACATCCTGTTTAGTCATCTCTCCAGAGAGCTCTATTTTCAGAACTGTTCCGTAAAGGTTCGCAAGGGGTATTCAGACAGTTTAGGGGATATTGTTAACTTAGTGGTCGTGGTGATGTAAGTAGCCGATTTGAATGCTCGGTGATCGACAGTGTGGTAACGCCTTGGAAGCAGATTTTGTGCGAGGGATGGGGGGCTTATAAGACTAGGCTATTGTACAGGTAAAGCTTTCTGAGTCAGAACAAAGCAGGCATCTTTTATTCTGAAAAAGTCTGTAATCAGGGTGTGACATTAAAAATATGTGGTGGTAAGCTAGGGGAAGGTCAATGCATTTTTTCCCCAGTCTTTGTCACCTAGGGGTACAGTCAAAACAGTAAATAGTATTGTCAAGGCTCTTTGAGCTCATTTGGTGGAAGCCAGGTCAGAAATGCTGAATGGCGACGTCACAGACTTTTGGATGAGAAGCGTGAAGCTTGGAGTGGTTAAGGACCTTGCTCAGAGTCTAGAACCAGATGCCTCAGTCAGGCCATGTCCCCATTTAGTTTGAGCATAGTTGTGATTTGCAACTTCTTTAAGTGTAATATTCTACCAAAAATGACCAGTTGTGTCTGTACTCAGCTCCTCTGGACCTGTCTCTCTCTTTGAGGAAAGGTCAAGGCAGACATGGAGCCATGGGCTGAATCCAACAAGATCTTGACAATTGTAAATTGATGTATTTGGGTCCAAAAGAACGTCACAATCCAAGGCTTAGCGGTGTTCTTAGATAGTTCGAGGTTAGCACCCAACATGAAGAGGGCAGAGCCTGTGTGCCTGGGCTAGTGAGATCAGAGCGGGTGCTGCCCGAATCCAGAATGGCGTGTTGCACCGGGACAGGACGGAGCCCGGAGATGGCAATCTGCTGAGTTGGCAGAGTGGATGTCTCCCTGAGTACATAGATGAGAGCTTTAAGGGATGAACAAGCAAGAGTCGTGGTTGCAGAGCTCCTGAATTGCCTTCCCTGCGCTTGCTGAAGATTAATTACACTCAAGTGAAAACGGTAGAGATGGAGACCGTACTCTCTCATACTTTTCACTTCCTAAAAGGAAAGGTTGCAGTTGACTGTGCCACATTTGTTCATTACCTCTCATGTTGCCATTGTTTCTCTATTTCATACATCTGTCAAGTGGTTATTATTATTATTTTTTAAAGATTTACTTATTTGAGAGTGAGAGAGAGAAGGGGAGAGGGGCAGCAGGAAACAAAGAGAGAGGAGAGAGAGAGAGAGAATCTCAAGCAGACTTCCTGCTGAGAGCAGAGCCCAATGGGCTGAATCCCACAACCCTGAAAGCATGACCTGAGCTGAAATCAAGAGTCCGATGCTTAACCGACTGAGCCACCCAGGAGCCCCTTCCTGCCATGTGGTTTAATAAAATGTTGCTCTGACATAAGATAGGGTTATTTCAGAAACAATGTCCAAGCTTACAGGTACTTCTCAATAATATCACAAAGAGCCAAAATGGAAGAGACTAAAATTCAAGACAAGCGGAAACATTGGAAGAACGATTTCCCTTAGGTTCGATTTTCTGCCTTTACAGTTTCGTGTGCTTTCACGCGTTTCTTACCCCTCTGCTGTTGAATGAAAGTCTTAATTAAGTCTGATCGATGCTGTGATTTTGCACATGTAGGCCTCTTTGTAAAGAATTATTTGAGGTCCCACAAAAAGGACTTCAAAGTTAGAATATAACACATGATTCTTTTCTCCTTCTAGGTGGATCTGGAGCCAGAAGGGAAGGTGTTTGTGGTAATAACCCTAACGGGGAGCTTCACTGAAGGTAAGGACAAGTTTAGGTGGTTTCTGGTATAAGTATAATCATAGTCGCTGTCAGTAGGATTTTCTGACCTGGAAGTTTATAAAAAGAGCATTTTGTAAAAGAAGCTTTAAAAATGGTTTTATGTTAGGTTGGCTCATATTTTGTTTGTAATGATCTGTTGGTTTGGATTGCCAGATTACGTATATTTGCTAAATCTGGCGATCTCATGATTTGTTTGACATACTCACTGAATTTTACTTTCTTCATCAACATCTTAGCTGAATGGGTTCTTGCCTCTTCTTGTTCATGTCTATCAAATTGTATTACAGATTTTTGGTTTGGGGGCCAACTTTTCACTTTGCCCTGGATGTGTTAAAAAATCTAAGGTGGGGGGGTGGGAGGTTGGGGGAACCAGGTGGTGGGTATTAGAGAGGGCACGGATTGCATGGAACACTGGGTGTGGTACAAAAACAATGAATACTGTTCTGCTGAAAATAAATGAAAAAAAAATGATTTAAAAAAAAATCTAAGGATCATAGTCTCTTTCTTACAATCTTTATCTCATTCTGCCCTGTAAGGGATTCTAGTCCTCTCTCCCTGGTGCTACCCCCACCTCCCACTCCCTAATTTTTTTTAATTGAGGTAAATGTATATACAGTGAAATGAACAGATTGGAAGGGAGGAATTTGAGTTTTGGCAAATGCATGCAGCCACATCCCCAGCACCGTGATCCAAGATAAAGAACATTTCCACCACTCTGAAAGTTCCCTTGTGTCCTTTCCCAGTCAGTTTCCTGCTGCCAGAGGCAATAAATGGGATGTTTTATTTTTTTCACCATAGATTAGTTTGGTCTATCCCAGAAGCTCACGTAAATGGAACTACATAGTATGTTCTCTCTTGTGTCTGATTTCTTGCACTCAGCATAATTTCTGTGAGACCCACCTGTGTCCTTGTGTGTGTTAGCGTCCCATTCCATGACCTACCCATTCTTTTCCTGATGGACATTTGGAGTCATTAGGAACAATGCTGCTATACGCATGGTTGTTCATACATTTCTGTCAATGTGCCCTTTCTCTCCTCTTGGGTAGATACATAGTCCTGGAGTTGCTGGGTAATAAAGGAAATACATATTCAACTTCATAAGAAACTCACAAATGTTTTTCTAACGTCCTTATATTTTTATACTCCCACCAGGAGTGTATGAGCATTCCGATTATTCCATTTCCTCACCAACACTTGGTATGGTCATTCTCTTTAAGGTTAGACAGTCTAGTGGGTATAAAACAGTATCTTGTGGTTTTCATTTGCATTTCCCTGGTGTTGAGTACTTTTGCATGTGATCCTTTTCTTCCCAAGTACCAGCTAAGGTCTTTTTGTTTTCTGAAGTTTGGTTTGTCTTTCTATTATTGATTTATAGTTGTTTGTTTTCTAGAGAAGCATCCTTTGTCAGAAATTGGTATTGTGAATACATTCTCCTAGTGTATGGCTTGCCTTTTCACTTTCCTAGTGGTGTCTTTGAGCAGAAGTTTTAAATTTCTCTGAAGTCCTGTTTATCAATCTCTTCTTTCATAGCTTATACATTTTGTATCCTCTGCAGGAAATCTGTCATAGGGGCACAATAATATTGTCCTGTTTTCTCTTAGAAGATTACAGGATTTTATGTTTAGATCTGTGTTATATTTAGGTCTTTGTTCCTTCTTAAATTAATATTTGTGTGTGGAGGGGTTGGGATTTCTTTTCCCTGTGCTACAATCCAGTTCTCCTACTCCCTGCCATTTCTCGAAGACTTTCTTTTTTCTTGGCACCTTTGTCACCAATCAGTTGACTCTACTGTGGACCTATTTATAAACTATTTTGTTCTATTGATCTACTGATCTATCATTATGCCAATACCACACCATCTTCATTGCTGTTGCTTTATAGTAAGTCTTAAGGCTAAATAGTGCGAGTCCTCCAAATGCGTTTTGTTTGTTTGTTTGGAGGTTATTTTAGCTGTCTTCAGTATTTTAAATTCTGATGTCAATTTTAGAATCAGCTTATCAATCTCCACAGAAAAGCCTACTGAATTTTGAATTAAAGCTGTATTAAATCTATTCATCAATTTGAGGAGAGCTGACATCTTAACAATTGTGAACATCTTCAAGTCCATAAACTGGGTATATTCCTCTGTTCACTGATGGTCTCTAATGTCTCTCATCCATATCAATATTAGAAATTCTATATAATTTTCAATACAGAGATTTTGCACATATTTTAAAAAATATATTTCTAAGTATTTTAAGCTCTTGATGCTGTTACATGGTATTTAAACATTTTTATTTTGGAAATTGGTAACAGTATATAGAGATGAAGTTTTTGCTTGACTTTGCATCCTATGACCTTAAAAAATTTCACTTTCTAATTCTAGTTAGGTTTCTCTTTCTCTCTCTCTTTTTTTTTTTTTTTTTGGTACCTATCTTAGGTTTTTCTCTGTAAATAATCATGTTGTCTATGAATAAGACAATTTTCTTTTTCTTTTCTAATGTTTATGACTTTTATTTCCTTTTCCTGCTTTATTGTGCCCAGAGGCCTTGAGGACAGACCTCCTTGTCTCATAACTAGTTTTAGGAGGAAGGAATTTAGTCTTTCCTTGTAAGTATGATGTTAGTTATGTGCACTTTGTGTATATACTTTTCTTTTTTTTTTTTTTAAGATTTTTTAAATTTATTTATTTGACAGTCAGAAATCACAAGTAGGCAGAGAGGCAGGCAGAGAGAGAGGGGGAAGCAGGCTCCCTGATGAGCAGCAGACAGCCCAATGCGGGGCTTGATCCCAGGACCCTGGGATCATGACCTGAGCCGAAGGCAGAGGCTTTAACCCACTGAGCCACCCAGGCGCCCCTGTGTATATACTTTTCATCACAACCAAGGAAATTCTTTCAAGTCCTGGTTTTCTGATAGATTTGGTTTTTCTTTTCTTTTCTTTCTTTCTTTCTTTTTAAATCAAGAGTGACTGTTAAATTTTGGCAAGGCCTTTTTCTTTATCATTGACATGAGCATGTGGTTTTTCTCCTTTGTTCTTTTTTTTCCAGCAGGCAGCTAAATTACTGGCTATCACCTGAAAATTGTGAAGTCTTTTGAGAGTGGGATTTTTTTTTTTTAAACTTCCCCCACCTTAGTTCTTGGACAGATTCCATAATCCTGAGGCATACTGTTCACTCACAAGGTCTAACCAAGTTGGGGTTTCATTGGAAAGCCTAAGGTATTTTAAGTCCTTTTCACTTTGTGGAACTTGGCCTCTAAACTCTCTCTCCTGCAGTGAGAGAGAGCAGACATCTCACCTCCTTTCTCTCAGCCTTCTAGTTACTGCTTTTGGTGGACTTCTCTGAGTCTCTCTTGAGTATGCACAGATTAGAGGAGTTTATAGATTTGGGGATTCTTCTCTCTATGGCCACATCTTTTCCAGGATTTCTCTGCTCAATTTCCTGTCATCTGTTAGTCCTGAATTTTGTCATTTCACTCTTCAAGCCAGTAAAACTGTAGTTTTCTGCTTGAATTCTTTTCACTCGACCTATGCAGCCTGGAGAATAACCTTGGGAGATGGCCTATAAGTATGGATCTTGACCAGTGCATTTTCCTTCTTTCGAATGTCAGGTTCCCTCCAATTTCTGTCCTCTTTTGGATGCTCTCCAGTGTTTTCAACTAAGTGTTTTAAAATATATTTCTAGAGGTTTTAATTGTTTGTGGTGGGAGGGTTAGTTATTAAAAGCCACTCTACCACTAAAATCCTGTGAAGACTTTTAAACCGTGGCTTAATGGTTTGTCCTTTTGGTGTTGGCATTTTGCAAATTGGTGACACTTTTGAAAATTGGTTTTCTCTTCTCTTTGCTGACTGTTGGTCACGTGGGAGAATTGTTTTAATGTTAATGTTTAATTTTTCCATCTTTCCCCAATTGTTGCATCATATCTTTTTGCTCTGATATTGAAGTTAGCATATATGTGGAATACTTGAACCTGAAAAAGCTCTCTAGATGACGGTTTGGTCAGCTCAAAGACATTTTTGTTTTGCCTGGTATCTTGTACATAGAAGATGGAGAAAGAGGAGTCTACTGATAGCTCAAATAAAATATAATGTGGTTACAGAACACTGTTGCTAGAACATTCTCATAGCATGGGCAAAACCACAGTAGAGGTAAACCCCTCCATGAGAGAAGAGGCAGAGCAAGGAGTGCGTGAGATTCTCAGTGTGCTGAACTACCTTTCTGCACTAAGTTACACAGGACCGATGGAGTGAGGCCGTGCACAGCAGACCACATGTCATTGTGCCATAGTGATTCTGTGACTTCCTTTTTTTAAAAGTGATGTTACCTCTCAAGGACTAAACTGTATCCAGGTTCTGTCTTCCTTAATTGTAACACTAGAAACACTAGAACACTGGGACTGGAATCCTTGTGGATGTTGTCATTACATTAATTGATTAGCGTTAGTGATAAGAAAGGAATGCCAAATATTACTAGGGGTGAGTTCTTACCAGGTCATTGCAATGCTGTTCTTTTTAGAGTGGACCCTGGGTAAAATTGTGAGGCTGGCTGAGTTCCTCTCTCGTACTCCCACCTCCTCTTTACGTTAGTCCTTCTTGCTCCCTGCCTTTAACTGTCTCTTAGTTCCAGTAAGATACCCAGTGATCTCTTCTCTCTAGGAACAGTTGCTCACAAGGAAGACAGTGAATTCACGGACTAATTCACCCCAGAGTGATAGCGATCAATAATATCTTAGTGTTCTATTCCTCGGAGGTGTGCCTGCGTATTTTAAAAGCTGCTGAAACTGACGTTTTATCCATGAGAAGGAGATTTTTAGTGTTGACATTTCAGAAGCCATAAGCATCTAGGTGTGGGATATATTTTAGAACCTCGGATCTATTCTCTGTCTGTGGGAGCACTGTCTTGTCAGTCTGGCTCCGAGGCTGGGGCTCAGTACGAGCTTGCACGCTGCTGCTGCTTTAGACCGCAGCTCCCTTGTCAAATGCAGAGGACGTGAGAGCTA